AAAAGGATTGAATATCTTGACGTGGCTGCGAATTTATACATCCCACACAGTCCATCTTACTTGCTGGATGGAAGGCGTTGATGCATGACTGTATTTTCTATACCCTAGTCAACACTTGGGGCTTGTTATGAAATGAATTAAAACAATTGAGCTCCGTCGGATAGAAATCGACCTTATGCAAGTGCACGTATACATGCTAATATGTAAGACTTTTATTGTTTAAGGAACATTCAAATGCGGAATAAAAGATGAATCTATGTCTGTTTTGTAGTGTTCTTATATCAACTAAATTTTGAAACAGTTACAGAAACTTTGCATAGAGATTTTTTTTAACCCGAAATAGTTTAACAGATGAAGTGATATTCATTTGCATAAGGTCGATTTCTATCCGACGCAGCTCAATTATTATGATTTTACTAGTCTGATATTTTTGCAACTTTTTTCAACTGATTTGATTTCCCATTGTTATTAGTCCCTTTTTGAATATGCCAATTCATGTTCCTATACTTCCTATAAACATTTTATTTATATGTTACAAATTGACCCTCTTTCATCTAGATATAATCATTCAAGGATAAATAGTTTCATTAAAATCGTATAAAATTATACAATTATAAGATCAAAATCTATTTTACTAAACAGGTGCGGCTTTGTTAAAAATCAAATCAAAATTTAAACTTTTCATTTAACCCATTTTGTTTGCTCCAAGGTGCCTGTCAGAAAATGTAATTGTTTAAATACCAACAATCTTTTATTTTATTACTAATAAATGTCATTTTTTTTTAAATTACTGGCTGTTGAAATTTGATGAAGTTAAATTTTGAAAAAATGCCATGAATGAAAATGTTTATGGTGATTCGGCAAAATAGTACAAACTAACCAGATATTTTTAATGTTTCACTGTAAATCTGATAGAAAGAAAACTTTGTGGACCTTTTTAAAATTTGTGACGTGGCCTCGGTGTCCCAGTAGTATAACAGTCTAGTAATATATCTACTGTACCACTAGCATGTCAACACGGAGGTTGTGGGTTCGACATTTTAATTGACTGGGATTGTCAGTTTCCCTGCCGAAGGTCGATGGTTCTCTCCGAGCGCTCAGGCTTCCTCCATCAATGAAAAACTGGCCTCCATGAAATAGCCAATAATGCTGAAAGTGGCGTTAAATACAAGAAATCAATAACCATTCTAAGATTTGTTACACACTAATACGTTGATAAAGTATAAAGCTATTATTTTTTTAAATGTTAACCTACTCCAGAAAAATATGAAATAAAAAAAATATTTTAAATGAAAATATAACCATTAACAGGTAGATTTAATTTTGAAAATTGTTTCTGCGGCGTTTTTTTTAGGGTTTTCCTCAAAAAAATTAATTAATAGCAATCAGGAAATTTCTGCAACTTTAATTTTCATGAACGATATAAAACTGTTTACTCTAAATTGTTTGTTATGAAAGGGAAAAGGGAGATAAATAATAAGGGATAATCAAAAACCATACGTCAAAGAAATAAGACAAATCACAATGGTAAAGAAACGGTGCACAAATAACTATACACAGAAAACTTAAGAATGCAATAGATCCCCACAAAACTGGGGACGAACTTATTGTGCTAGATTACATTTAGATCACATTAAACCACTCAGCAACATAGGCGCATACATTTTACGAACATTCTATTCAGAAATAAGAGTATGACTTATCTTGATTGGTCGTTGTTTGCACCAGGTAATTATTATGATTAGGCACCTTGTTGGCTCTTCCATACACCAATGACAAAATGATATATTTTCCTTTGCCATAAATGAACCAAGAATACGGTGTCGAGACATGTATTTTTCAGGGCAGAATTAATAGGCGAGGGAGACCAGTAAAAATTAGTGTAACTTAGAAAAAAAAAACAAAAACAAAAAACGAATGCCTATATTTTTATCGACTTAAAAAATATTGGCCTTATAATTTTTATTTAATTCTAACAAGTTTTCGCCCTTCGCATACGCGCTTCATGTAAAATATGTGATGGTCACTTGTTTTCGTTTTGCATACATTTAAAAAAAAAATCAAAAAATTCAAATCAATAATAAAAGGCAATGACGATTATATACTAAATGCTTCATTTTTGTACAAAACTATGTTTCGATCAACGTTTAAACCCCCCTCCCTCACCCCACCCCCGTTTCCAAAAGGAAAATTACAAAAAAAAATAATAATTCATAAGTAAAATTATGTGTCAAAGTCCTGTCAAACATTGACGCTGATGAAGGATTTTTCTATTTTGTACGATGTAGTTGTATATGGTGAACCAATACCTGGAGTGTGATTGTGCGGTAGGGTTAATAAACAATTCCGTTGCGGTAATTTACGAGTGTTGTTGTCTTTAATATCGATTATTTTGTACAAGATATACAAATCTGATAGTGGTATAAAGAAGAGAGATTAATTTGAAAACAAAAATTAAAGAATTGAGAAAAATCGCTTAATAAAAAAAAGAAAATATGCAAATACAAAGACGCCCTTCAAGACCCTCAAATATTAGTATACCTTAGGACAGACACACGACTGACACACACTGGATAATCCTAAATGATAGTTAAGTACTTTTTCATTTAAAACTTGTGTCCCGAACTTGTTAAAACTCTACGTCTGCATTATGATTACGAAGTAATAGTGATGGTTCTTTAAGGCGCATAATTTACTGTCTTACGTGTATAACTATTAGTTTTGTGTAGATTTCGACAGGTTTCAGGTTAAAGATAATTGCTAAATTCTTCAGTGGCAAATATGTCACGCGTATTCAAGCATTGACTTTACCGGACGTGACTGCGTATTTATGCATTCCGCACTACCATACAGCAGGAATTTTACTGGCTAACGGGAGAATTATACCCTCTCGTTTCGTAGTTGTTCGTTTATCATTTAATGGTCTAGGCTGGTTTGTGTGAATAATTTATTTTGGCATTGATAATTTCTTAAACTATGGATATGGTTCTCCATGCCAGTGTTAAATTTGTTTCAACGACAAAGGTACAGTCATCGCTAAGGGAAAATCATCACTTTGAAATATATGTACTTTATTGCAAAAAGTAAAACCCTGACGGGTTAAAATGCAAACATAATAGACATATACACACGAAACATACAATACATGAAAAAAGTTCTAAACAAGTCATGTTAATATTAATAATATATACATACGTATATAGATAATTGACCAATGTGGACCTTTTTTTCGCAATTCCATGGATTGCTTGATATAGCCTTCAACACTAGACAAAATATCTTTATTGGGATCTAAAATAGTTTTAAGTTTAGAGTTTGAGTCAAGCTAGGATAATGGGTTTTAATTGCATTTATCAGGGGATTTCTAACATTACTGCTGATTTGGCAATGAAGGAAAAAGTGTTCCTCATCATCTAAAATTTTATAAACTTTACACACTATGTTCTCTTTGAATTTTTTTATATCGACCTATTTCAATTTCCAAGTTATGGTCACTTACACTGAATTTTGTTAAAAGTTGACCACGATTAAAATTGTTTAGATTGTGCAAGTAGTCTTCCAGTTTAATTTCATTTTTAAGTTTACATTGTATATATTGTATTGTTCATGTGCATGCCTGACCCAAGTCAGACCCAACTATATTTTATTTTTATTTTGTCGTTGTTGAGTTGCTATTTAAATGACGTTTACCCCACATCTCTTTCGTTTATACTTTAGTTCATCATTTAAAACCTGACAACTGACAAGGTTGTTCATGGACGAAGAGAGACATTGACATAAAACATACATGTGAGGGTTAATTGGGGTGGGTGGGTTGGGTTTGGGGGGGGGGGGGGGCTGTGATCAAAATCGGGTAAAACATAACGAATAGAAAACAATAGGATATCAAATATAAAGAATAGAGAATATTGGACCAACAAAATATTAAAAATTGGGGAAAATACATAGTTTGCGACTACCCGGCATCCAGCCCCTCATGTAAACGTAACATGTCGAAAAACTCAAACTGTGACATTGACAATAAGAAACTGAATCATATATTCATTCATTTTTACCATCCTTCATTTGTAACAATACATTCGCTATATATTTCATTTGACTGGTGTATATTTAAAAAGAAACGGTGTATCTATGAAATATCTATTTGAATATGATGCTGTATTGATATTGATATTTGATATCAGATTTCTAAATGTCAGCCATGAAAAATTCATAGTTAAACCCGTATTAGATTTATGTATCAATTGACGACATTTTTTAACATAATTTTGTTTGTATGTATAAGTACGGAGTCCTGTTGGTATCGCATAGAAATAGAGTTGTGGTTTTAACGTCAAGCGTGGAGATGTAAAGTCTAGGGTTAAATATTTAAAGTCAAACGCTGGAGAAATAAAGTCTAGGGCTGAAGATTTAAAGTCAAACGATGGAGAAGTCAAGTCTAGGGCTGGAGATTTAAAGCCAAGCGCTGGAGAAGTCAAGTCTAATGCTGGAGATTTAAAGCCAAGCGCTGGAGAAGTCAAGTCTAGGGCTGAAGATTTAAAGTCAAACACTGGAGACTTAAAGTCTAGGGCTGAAGATTTAAAGTCAAACTCTGGAGAAGTAAAGTCTAGGGCTGGAGATTTAAAGCCAAGCGCTGGAGATGTAAAGTCCATTATAGCGCGATTCAAAAACATGAATTGATAATCAATCCCCGGGTTCATTTGATAATCAACACACAAAGCAAGATTTGCTTACCTTTCCTAAGAACATGTCTTTAGTTTCCTGTATTGTGTTTTGTGGACTGTTGCTTGTCTTTTTCTAGTTTTTGTTTTTTGCCATGGAGTAATCCGTTTCTCTTCGACTTATGATATTTTAATGTCCCTTAAGTATATTCTTCCTTTATTGTAGAGGATATACAGTGAAGGATATAAGGCATTTATACACACACATAATGCATTATATTACAGTTGGTGTACAAAAAAAGGAGACAATTTTCTTATTTGATATGTTTTGTTTTTCAGTCTTCGAACCAATATCAATAAGAAAACAGATGGTGTTTGAGATGTTCATTATGCTGAAGACATTCTTAGCGGCAGTGGCAGCAGGTACGTTGAAGCATAAGATAACGGTACCATCTTACTGCACCAGATGCTCATTTCGATAACAAATGCATCTGCAGTGATGCTTGAAAAACTTGTTAAAAAATTGAAGAGCTTATAAACAAAAAAGAACAAAAAGTATAGCCAAATAATGGAAAAAAAAACTAAAACAAAATCGAGAAATAAGCAACTAATTGAGATACAATCAAACCAAAGTATCAGCATAACAAGACAAAATCATTAACAAAACGGAAACAATAACTTGAAACCTGAAATAGAAAATATCGTTTGTATATGCCCAATTTTAGGCGGAAATCTAAAAAAAAACAAAAAAAAAACAAGTACACAAACACCAGGCGACTCACTTTTATTTTCGACTAATGAGTTGAAATGTCCCTTAGGTATCCTTGGCCTCTCTTGAACGAGACCAGGTTTATTATTTTTATCCTTAAAAGTGCATGGTACGAATATTCGTTTTCTTAACTTGTTTTTAAGCCACTTTTTCAGTTCTGTTTTTTTTTGTTAACATATAAATTGGAACTATTTGTTTTATTTCAGGACAGTTGTGTTTTGTGATATTGTCTATAATTCCCCCAGTCAAGGAGAAGTTTGTACATGCTTTAGAGGAATATACTAGTTGTTTTTCACAAAAGACTCTCTTTACATCAGCACTTGGAGCTTTCATTTTAGGAATCGGCATGGCATTGTGCGGAGCTGTAAGTTTAATATCAATTTCATTTTGGTTTTAACACAAGTTGTTTCTTTTTGCTAATTGGACAATTTGTCTGATTCTAGACCGCACAAAATGGGCTTCAATATCGAAATTATATACATGGGCTGCAGTCCATGTAAATAAACTCATCATAGATACCAGGATTAAATTTTGTACGCCAGACGCGTTTTTCGTCTACAAAAGACTCATCAGTGACGCTCGAATCAAAAAGTTAAAAGGCCAAATAAAGTACGAAGTTGAAAAGAAGAGAGGACCCAAAATTCCGAAAGAGTTTACAAAATCTATTCCTGGGGTAGATAATCCTAAGTATTTCGAAAAATTTGTAATTAGTTAATTTATAATTATGACCATATATCAATGATAATTCAAGTCAACACTTCTACTTGACTGATAAAGCATGATAAGTTGAAAGTACAAAATGTATTAAAATAGCGTTTTACCCGTTTTTTCTGAAAAATAACTACTGGTATTTATATCAAAAGTTTTTAGCTTATCAAAATCCGAACTGTAATTGAAAGATCAGACAAAAATAATAATTACATACATTACGCACAGATAAATTTGCTCTTCCGGCTGCTCTTTATTGATAGTGGAATTTTTGTTCCTCCTATCGGAAAAAAATCTCGTGAAAATGGATCTCTTATTTCGGGTAACCTACGGAATTGGAAAATATACTATTATTGATATTGTAAAAAGACAGTAAATAATTGTATAAGATATATCCAATTGCATTCGAAACCTTGATGTAAATAATTAAGCACGCCAGACGCGCGTAACATTTGCGATTTGCTCATCAATGGAGGTAGAATCAAAAGTTGGAAGGCCAACTCTATTACGAAGCTGAAGAGCATTGAAAACTTTAAGGGGGTAAAAAAATCTGAAAATCAATATGCTCTGAAAAATGCTAGACATGATCTGTATGCTTATCATAGAAAGTCTTCAAAATCTAAAAACGAATAATTTAATTTTGGATGTAACGCGTCTTCCGATTGGCTGACGTTGTTTTGTTTATCAGCTCATAGACATAATTTTGTCATGTGACCTTGACGTCATCAACGTTTTTTCATGATTTACTCCGGTTTAAAATGGAATTAAGAATTAAATTATAAGAAATGACTGTAATATTTTTTCTGTCTATTCGAAATAACATAAAAAATGTGGTGCACACTTTAAAATAACCCGCTACGCGGGTTATTCAGTGTACACCACATTTTTTATGTTATTTCTTCATAGACAGAAAAAATATTACAGTCATTCCTTAATTGGTCAACTTCCAAAGATTATCTGTCGGTTTGATTTTAGATTAATTGGAAAATAGACTAAGTGGTGCGTTTTTATTGACACTCAGTATAATGATTTAAGAAATAAATAATGATATATCTTGCTTAGTGTATTCAAAGTTTAAGACACGAGATGAAAGAGACCTGTCACTGGTAAAGCTGTGTTTCATGAATTGCCTACGCAACTTAAACTGTACAATCAGATATTCACTATGAGTTTTTTTTTCTTGCAGTGCCCTGCCATGGTTTTAATACAGATAGGTACATGGGTACCGAATGCAAGTAAGTATATTATCAATAAAATGTTTTAAGGACAATTACAATATTCTCACTGAAGCTTTGCCTCAAAATGTGCCATGCTTCAGTCCAAAAACAAAGACTTCAAAACCTAATAAATCACACCTTTTAAAAAGAACTTAAGAATATAATAATTCCATTAAAAATCAAATCAACGAAAATATTTTTTCCGGTTCAAAAATAAAGTAGATTTACAATAAGATGGTATGCTTTTAGAATTTTTTAATTTAACTTCAAGCAGAAATGTTTAAATAATATATATAATGTCCTCTTGGATTCAAAGAAAAGCAACGAAGAAAACAAGACAGGTTACGTAACTAAAATAGTTAGTTTTTTCTATGATAGGGTTATTATACCATTATGTAAAATGTGATGGAATAAGAAAAAAGAAAACAAGAGACATGTTTAGATATGGAATTTCGAACAAATGCAAACACCATCGGGCAGTGATTTAAAAGCTAAATACTGGTACAACATATGAATATATTTGTTTTTTTGATTTTTGATTTTTGGTGTTTTAACGCCACTTTTAAGCACCGCTTTTGGCTATTTCGTGGCGGTCAGTTTTTATTGGTGGAGGAAGCCGGAGTGCCCGGAGAAAACCACCGACCTTCGATAGGAAAACTGACAATCCTAGTCACTTAAGATTGGAGTCGAGTGCACCCGCACGAGCGGGGTTCGAACTCACAACCTCAGTGTTGACTGGCTAGTGATTACAGTAGTAATTACTTAGACCACTCGGCCACCGAAGCCCCATATGAATATAAGGAGATGCTCTGTATATATACGCAAACAGCATCCCAAGGACCCAATTAATGGAAAACATCTAAAAGTCAAATCCTAGTCTAAAAATGTGTGAATAATTCAGCAGAATCTATTAAAGATCTGCTATAGACATAATATGAATGCCGTTCACTACAATAGCTCCAAATAACAAAAACCAATAAGACACAATACAACCACTGCCGAGAATCCTGACTTCTTCCGGAAAAGGATCGCATTCTGTCGTTTATTTCGTGACCAATCAGAATTACCTGCAATAGTCTTATTGATAGACCAAGTACAACTCTTTCATTGATATTAAGGATGTTCGCTCCTCTTGTTTTTGAATTTTTGCCAGATATTCGGAATCCTCTGGTTTTATCCATGTAGAGCCATTAAAAAATTTGCCCACTAACCCCTACTTTTCTTTCCGTAATTTGATTACATATAGTTTAAAATGCCATCTTTGAAAATCTTATAAAATCCTTCTTATTTTTTCATCGTTTTTGAAAGAAAAAAGGTGTCAATGTTAAATGTATGAAAAATCTAGAGAGAAGTATTTCCCGCCAAATTTTCAATGGCTTATATCTCGGAAACAAGCACACGGACCCTTCATTTTTTTCTGCTTTTTTAGTTTCTTTATTTATATACTATCAATTTATAACAGTCTTTTAAAAAGCTTGTTATTTTGAAACAGAGTAGCGAACATCCTTAAACATTCATTTCATAGTGTCACTCAAAATAGTACTGTACATAACCACCAATATTGACATGAAAAAACGGAACATAAGCTTAGCTAACACGAAATGATGAGTATAATGTCGTTATATCACGCTCCACTCGATTTTGTGATTTGTGTTGCTCCTTCGTGTTTATATTTGGTCTGTTTACCGTGGCTTCAAGTTGACAAACAAGTATGAAATAATTCAATATATGCGTTGCCTTTTTTTCATAAACTTTGTATTATTTTTTTTTCTTTTTACAGTATTTACACTAATAGGTTGCTTACTTGGAGCCTTGACCTACGGAATGATCGCCCCTTTTGTAGAAAGATTAACGAGACCCAAGAACCCAACGGAAAAACACAGGTATTTAAATACAACTTTTTAATTCAAATGATTTACTCATAGTAATTGGACTTTGTACTTTTGGTTAGATGCATTTTTTTTTTCAAATATATATATCTTACTCATAAGTCGAGAATATTTTGAAACAGGATTTTAGTTTTATTTATATATGAAATTATGAACATGATTCTTTAAGAAACAAGTGGCAGTAAATAACAAAAGGACATTCAAAACTCATAAGTCGAAGAAAATTTGAAAACGCCATGGCAACAAAAAAATGAAAACTAAGAAAAGACGGAGAAGTCTATAAAACACTATACATAATTCTCAAGAATGAGAAACACAAACCCCATCAAAAATCGACCGGGTTTAACTCGGATGCTTATAATTATATTATATTTTTGTCTTTACACTGGTCTAAATGATAAGTAATTCACATATTAAAAGTATAATTTAGATTTAACTCAATTTTGGATTTATAGGATTCAATTTTGTGTCTATAAATATCTAGTATCTCATGTGAGTGTTTTCAGTTGTTACATATTATATGACTTCCGTCTGTATTTATTTTTTTAGTGTTCCAGCGACATTTAAGATACCATTTTTTGCACTGGCATTACCAATGAGTATTTTAATAGGAATAGTAGGTTTTATAATGGAATGGTTCTGGCCCTGGACCAAAGATACAGACTTAATTCATGTAAGTATTTTGGCTTATTGGTAGCCGAACAAAAACACAGACTTTGAAATTGATTAAAAAAACCAAAAACATGGATTTTCGGGACCGTAAACGACAAACAAAAAAATACTTTCGGAATTGATAACAAAAATAAGGACTGTCGGTTCTATGGACCCTTCAACATCTTTATTTCGGATATTATGGCTTGAGCATTTTAATAGATTTTTTTTATTACAGGAACGATTCGTCTTAAGAGGTCTTCGAACACATTAAAAAAAATGTATGAAATTAACATAAAGGGGAAATAATTCATTAAATTCTACCTTATTTATTATCATTCTAACAATAGAAATATTTGTAAGTATATAGATGCATGAATATATTTAGTACAAAACACATCTGATATTAATGAATACCGGAAATATGGCATAAAAATGCCTAATATGCTCAATGTCTAAAGCAGATATGGATATTTGATTTCGTTTTAGGTCAAGTATCTCATTAATTTTTTATTCTCCTTTGATCGTCGATGTTAATTTTATGCTTGACGAAATTTGATAAACTGTTTACATATCCTCTTTTTTTAAAAGACATTTAATGTAAATTTCGAATGCTATACAGTATATCACATTTCTATCAAAAACACATTTTCCTTGTTGGGAATCTGACATTGAGACATCTTACTAAACTAAGTACTAAGACGTTGTATTAGGCTCAAAACACGTTTAAGTATTTAAGAAACCCAATTAAAAAATAAAGGTGTTAATTGCCATTCTATTTCGAATGAATAAATATTTTCAATCTCCGAAACAGTGGGTTACACTGACTTGCTTCAGCGTCCTAGCTCAGTAACAATTTCATATATAGAGAAAGATATAGCCTATACTTTTGAAATTTCATTTTATATAGGACATAATGCCATCAGACAGAGTTGACCCTGAACACCTTTGGCTGTTGCGGTTAGGTATTTTGGTTCTTGACCCTCTGAAAACGTTTAGTGTTCTGGTTTTCCAGTGAAACTATAAATCTTGTGTAATGTTCTAGAGAATCGGTGTCGAATGTTTACAGTAACTGACAAAGTATTATTTTGTAATAAAATTGTACTGAACTTAGAATTTTAGAAGGAATACTATTTCAGATGTTAATATCTGAAAAAAAAGAACACAGGCTATAAACTACTCATCTATTGGCAGTCTATTTAGACTTGTTTTCAATTTAGACTTGTATATATATATAGACTTGTTTATATTTTTTCGTTTGGGCTTGCATTATATTTGCCTTCGGGTTTATATGATCCGTTCATCCTATTTCGACTCTTCAAAATTCAAGAGTCAATCCCAAATTGAGGTAAATTATGTGGCCTTCCAAATACCGTTTCGATTCCTAACATCACTGAAGAGACATTAATTGTCGAAATCCGGATATGGTGTACAAATTTTTGCACCTCATGTTTGCGGTATACCATCTTTTCCGCAAGTTTATTGTTTTCTGTTTGGTATTAAATTAATATAATTAAGATCCATTGTGTTACATCTGTGATCCGTTTATTTGGCAATCGCCATGGCAGTCAGCAGGGTTTAAGAACATCCGTTGTTCGACCTGCTAGTCAAATGCGTTTTGTTAAAATATACTTTTTCACTTTTTTGGTCTTTTGGAAAATGTTGTTTGTGCTGTATTTAGACCCCTCTACAAAGAAATTTGTTTTGCATGCACACGTATAAAAATTGCGGTTTTTATCCAACGCAATCATAGGTTTGAACGTTGTTTTCAATTTAGACTTGTTTATATATATATATATATAAGTCTAAATATATGTTGTTTGTTACCTTGATATGTCGTTTTAATCGATTTATGAGATTTGGATATTGGTAAAATACTGTTGCCTATATTTATACAATCTTTTCAATAAATTTTCAGTTTGACCACGACATACTCTTTTTTAACATATTAACATACTTTTTATTTGATTTTAGAGAAGTAATCCAGCCACGGCTAATGTTTTTACAGCAGTGTCATGGCCGCCATATGCTTCTGGTAAGTATTTGTTTTTTTTAAATTTTTATATTCATAATCTATACAAATTATTTTATCCTGTCAACCTCTGGAACTGTAAATGAGGTATATAATTTGTCTGCCCTCACAAAAGAGGATAACATACGGATAAGTCGTTGACAACGGCATGTCAAAATGCAAACCACAGTTTACAAAACACAACATAGAAAGCTAAAGACTGATAAACTAGACCCCACCAAAACTAGGGGTGATCTCAGGTGCTCCGGAATGGTAAGCAGATCCTGTTCCATATAAATACTGCTATGAATTATATCATGTCTTTTGAATTAAATGGACAGATGTGCAATGGCCAATTGGGATATTTTGTACGTTGATTTAAACAAATGCATAAAAAATTACACATCCAAATGAACAAGTTAACATACTTCTTAAAATACATTCGCACTCTTTGTCTGGTATATACATTTGTTTTTATCAAAAACCCAGTTTTATTGGAACAATGTATTTTACTATATTATAGGTATAATCCTAGGAGTTATACAGTTACCGTTAGTTTTATTTGTACAAGACACATTAGGTGGAAGCAGTGCCTTCGTCACAGTGATGTCACAATGGGTTGTAACAGACAAATTACAGAAAATCTTTCCTTATCTTGCCAGTAAAAGATTAGGCGTTGGTAATTGGTGGCAGGTATGTCTTGTCTGTTTGAGTTGTAACAATAGAAAAAGAACATGTGGTATGATTGCGTAAGAGACAGCTATCCACCAGAGTATAAGTGATATGAATGTTCACACCGAAAAGTCTTCGTATTTATGCATCCTACAGTACCTGGTTTCCTGGGAGCTGCGGAGATATACAGGCAAACACCAAAAAGACAACATTTTATAATTAACAAAATGCTGATATGAAAACTGAAAAAGTTGAAAATTAAAGCTTCTTCAATTGAAAGCTCCATAGAAATATGAAGTCATAGTCGAATCCTTGAAACGTACTGTTTTTGCTTTAACAAAAATAAAAATCAACTTTTAAAACTTTTTAATCTATCTTATATGATTTACTTTTATTTGTAGGTATTTTTAGTGTGTGGAGCAGTAATTGGAGGGTTAATATCAGCGTCGGCGTCATCATCATTAACAATCGCTTATGGTGCACCAGCACATGTAGCATTTTTCGGTGGATTTTTTCTCATATTTGGAGCACGATTTGCTTCAGGATGTACAAGGTATATATGACTTCCCTTTTTAACAACTAGTCAGAACGTAGACGTTAAATTTGATGCCTCGAGTAAAAGGATTGACAAGTTATCTGCACAATAAAAAAAACCCTGTAAGGGGCCCATATATGTGGCATGTTGAAATCCAACATGCTCTCATTTCCAAATGTCAGTCCAAATTTTTCACTTCCATTCCAGTCGACCAATACCTTACGGAACCTACCTATTGTATGTATTGTCAGTTTGTTTTCGTCCTGAACATGCATGTAATATTTGCCACTCGACGTTAAGTAATCAGCAAATAATCAAATCATTCTGTTGCAACTGCTTAAATCATTAAAGGGACATTAGCTGTCAAATTTATGTTTCCCGATTTGACTCCAATTCTCATATTTGATTTATAACATACTTAAACGTATATCCAAATTATAAAAAGTCTAAAATAAAAATTTACGATGCACGGACTCGATAATATGTATCAGCATTTCGTGTTTATTTTAGTTTATACGCCATCTAATTAACCATCGCGATGACCTCCGAAGACTGCCGACAGTCATTTAACCTGATATTAACATAAACATAAATATAAAATAGATAGCATGCATATGCAATTGGATTTTTCTAGGTCTGTATGATTTCATATTATAGGTTAAAATATATGTTAATAATCGTTTTTACCTGTATACGAATGATGTTTTGTGGATCGAATCAGTCAACCAAATGGTTTATTATTGTTTCACTTTCAATTTTGACATTTTTTTTTAATAACTGAACACGCCAAGTACATGCGTAACTCATCTCTGAAGGTCACATGAATATGGATTCAATGAGGTCGAATTATTAACTTGCAAGTGAATTCATTAGCGATGTTTCTTAGCTTATTTTGACCAAATCGAACCTAACTAGCTGCTAAAAGCGAATTATTTTTTCACTATTTCACTCTCATTAAAGATTGAACACACAAATAATCATATTTAATTTTTTGTCATATCTCGTAGCTAATGCCCCTTTAAACTATTGAAAATAAAAGTGTCTGGTGAGCCTGTCTGTTACCACTCTTCTATTAATAATTTTCACTACAGCTTATGTAGATATTTCAATTTCCAATTAATCATCCTATTCTCTCATCAAAATAAATAAGTTATTATTGCGATTGTTGAGCATTGGTAAAGACCTTGAGATTATTTCTTTCTATGCCAGAAAATGCTACATATAAAAAATGCTATCCAAATCCAAACTTATTTTTGCGTAACCCATTTTGTCACAATTTTCGAAAGCAGAAAAACATCAACATCATTTTTGAATATAAGATATTAACAGAAATGTCTTTTATTTTCAGTGGTCATGGGATATCAGGCATGGCGTTGTTAGTGTGGATGTCATTTGTAGCTGTTCCTTTTATGTTTGGAGGGGGGATAGCAACATCTTTTGCCATGCAAGCAACCGGTGCATTAGACACGTATGTGATGTCTACCGGTGCTGTATGAAAACAATGATCTCTAAAACGAAGATAATTTCCGGTAACGTTAATTTCCGGTGCTTATTACTATGCAACATATCAGCAAATGTGTAGTTCAAGTGAAATAGAGGAAAACATTTAAGGATAAAATTATCGTTGAACCATGACCAAGTTGTTTGAATGTGCAATGCAATTAGTATAACAATGACGTAGATTATTTGCCTGCATTCAGATAACTAAGTGGAGAAATTAATTCAGAACAATTACATCACAGTAAATGATACAACAATTTTTCCATTTGGAACATTCCTCGACTAAAGCAGTTGAACAAAACCCTGTTTTAAAGTTTATTTAACGCAGGTAATTGCCATTCGAGACAGTCAACCATTTATTCAGTAAGATAATTGTATCAAATTACAGAAATGTACAAATCAAATGTGCCAAATGTTACTTATTTTGTGATTATATGCATATTTATACATAATTATTATATCATTTTGATTTATATATACATGTATATATATATATTTTGCCTTAATCAAAAGTTGTATGATTATCGGAAACCTCATTAGAGTTTTCATTAACCAGGTTTATTTGTTATTGGCTATTCAAACTACATGACTAACACTGAGATAAATATGAAGACGTTCCTATGTAACTTTTCTGCTCTGTATTCTACCGAACTGAATATTTTAAGGAATGTCTACGTATCTAAGTATGCCCCGTCGGTGTAAGGCATGCAACTGTTTCAATGGCTAGTAAATTATTCTGCATAGCAATAACAACTACATATCACGGCGGAACGTATATATTGATTTATAAGCTCTATGACTGGCTGTCCTATTCTCTTTTGTTTGCGTCTATACATGGGGCATTATTTCGATACGCTGTGATTATCATCCCATCTCATCAATATTTTCATTTCGTGTTTTCCCTTCATTTTATTTAACCTTGCCAATTTATGTAATTTTTATTCATTGAGTTGCTGTAAATTTCTATAAAAATTGGTTAGACAAAAAATTCTTTAAGAATCAAATAGAAAAACCGAAATAAGAATCAAAGAAACAAACAAAAATTTTTCAAAATCAAATTCATAAAGACTGAAAAAAATATATAACAAAGGCCACCTTGCAAATTGTATCCCAAATTATATTTTCTTTTTTTAGATGGACTAAGCAAAATAAAGGATATACATGTATATTGATATCATTTGTGTGGTTAAAGGGAAGTAATCGGTGCTGGTTTATAAATACAAACGTTTTTTTTATATTTGACGTAATTTCCAGTCTTATAACATATGTGTACATTTGTATTGCCTTTAAGAACAATTCTAATTTTTCAATTACGGAGCAAACAGCTGATTGCGGACGAGAAAGAAAGTTGCAAAAGATCTCAACATTTTGAGACATTTAAAAGACTTGGATCATTTTACTGGTCTGATATTTTGATTCATTTTGATTTATTTTGTCATTTTGTTCTTAAACATTCTATCATTTATGCGCTTTTTCTCATCAAATGGTTGCTCCTTTATTCAATGTGCCATACACGCTTCATAGCCTTTTTACCTCAGTTGCCAATCATTAATTTATTATATGTTGTAGTAACCATTTGTCAACAATTAAGCATCGTGCATATTCTTGTATTCTAACAATTTCTAAACCCACCTGTTTTAACAATTAACAAATGGTGACAAAGGGGAATCGGAAACATTCGATCAAATTACCGAATGGATAACGAATTTCACCGATGTGTTATGGTTGTGTTATGGTCACACGGGTCAGACGGCAAGCTTATTTACAGCTTAACAGTTTTTGGTACGGGTTTTCGCACTAGTTAATATAATATAAATCGTTATAGTCAAAAGGCAGTTTTTTATTATTCGTCATTTTTGTTCTATTTTAAGAAACTTTTATTTAAAAGTAGGTCTAATGATTTAAATTTCGGCAAATTTTTATTTTATTGATAAAAAAGATCGGATTATCATTCAATTTTGTTTTTCTAGATGTAAACGTATGAAAAAGTCTCAAAGACTTTGAAACTGAAAACAAACCAAACATAGATAACAAAAAATTAGTAAAGAGCAATATGAAATTACAAATGTTAGAAATTATAATTGGTTTAACAACTTTTAAAAGTGAAACAGATTGTGAAATATAAAAAAAAAACAACAATAAAGATATGACAAAACTATGATGATGACAACGTTTAAAAGCTGTACTTTTGGCTATTTCTTTAAAGATTGTTTAAGTACTTTTCCACTTTCACTTTTTTTTTTATTTTAACGGTACTTTGAATAATTGTCAATGTTATGGTTCAAGTTCCAAATTCACAATAACTGCACATCTAACTGACAGATTCTGTCTTGTACAAACTGAAATCACCACAAATAACTTAAAATTTACCGCACTTATCAACGACTAGGAAACCTAGAGTTACATGTAAATTTGACGGTCATTTCAAACTACGTGTAGCATTATCATACTCATGAGATCCTTATTACATTGTGTTACATTGATGTGTGATTTCTACTTGCCAATGGTATAAGGTTTTGCAATGTATACATAATTTAGTCATGCCAAATTCAGTGTGTTTTGTCATTCAAAATGAAAACAAATTGAACCATGTACAAGGAAAGATAAGTCTCTGGCTACAAGCAGTATAAATTTACCATTGAAAAAAATACCACATTTTTATGAAATATATTGTTTTCTGTTATTATGTTTTGTTTTTTTGACGTTTATCTTTTTGGAAGCAAGATAATGATTCAGGTAATAAAAAAATGGAACACGTGACTAAAATACCTGTCAATAAACAATGAAGACTTTAACTCGTGCAAAAGTACTTTGTATGTCTATGTAATGCTGGGAGATCTTTGACCTGATTATGAACTATCAATGGTTTTTTTATACTGTTTGTAGACTGATGCACATAACCATTATACGATAGATTTTATATGATTAGTTTGAATGGACTATGTCTATGAAGGAGATTTTCTGTGTTTCCATTGTTACAATACGACATTGTTATTCATGTTGACTTTGTTATTATTGTTGATTTTCATATTAAATTTCAATATAAAGATTGTAATGTTTATCTTTTTTGTTTTGAAGTCTGTGTATAAAAATAAACACAAAGGCCGTGAAAGCCAAAATGATATTTGTATCAGTAATGAATGAACACTTTATAAATTTTGTGCGCCCGACGCGCTTTTATGTATTTACCTTCATCCTTAAGGATGTTCGCTCCTCTTGTTTTTGAATTTTTGCCAGGTATTCGGAATCCTCTGGTTTTATCCATATATTGTCATAAAAAAAATTTGCCCACTACCCCCTACTTTTCTTTTCATAGTTTTATTACATATAGTTTAAAAGCCATCATTGAAAATCTTAAAAAATCCTTGTTATTTTTTCATCGTTTTTGAAAGAAAACAGGTGCTAATGTTTAATGTATGAAAAATCTAGAGAGAATTATTTCCCGCCAAATTTTCAATGGCTTATATCTCGAAAACAAACACACGGACCCTTCATTTTTTTCTGCTTTTTTAGTTCCTTTATTTATATACTATCATTTTAGAACAGTCTTTTTAGAAGCTTGTTATGAAACAGAGTAGCGAACATCCTTAAAAGTGCTATATGACCACCAAGGACCTAACCAGAATGGCAAAATTTAGTTACGGTCAACTTTTCCTGTGGTAGTTGCAACCTAAGTTTTTTTTATAAAAGGAGAGAATGGCAATCAAACATTATAACCGGACAAAAACAAAAGACGTAAACATTTCAAAAGAAGAAAATAGAATGATATAAACATGACCAAAAAAATCTATCAATTTATCAACATTTAAAAGGAAAAATAAAATGATAAATAAAAGTCTACAATACACTACATAGAAATCTAAAGATTGAACACCTCGAATCCAACTAAATGGCTGTGAATTAAATCTGGTAGTCTGATATGGTCTCTTATAGTGACACACTTCGTGTTATTTGTGTTACATGTAAAATTGAGAATGGAAATGGGGAATGTGTCAAAGAGACAACAACCCGACCATAGAGCAGACAACAGCCGAATGCCACCAATGGGTCTTCAACGTAGCGAGAAACTCCCGCACCCGGAGGCGTCCTTCAGCCGGCCCCTAAACAAATATGTATACCAGTTCAGTGATAATGGACGTCATACTAAACTCCAAAATATACACAGGAAACTAAAATTAAAAATGATACAAGACTATCAAAGGCAAGAGGCTCCTGACTTGGGACAGGCGCAAAAATGCGGCGGGGTTAAACATGTTTTTTGAGATCTCAACCCTCCCTCTATACCTCAAGCCAATGTAGAAAAAAAACCCACAACAGTACGCATAATACATTGATGTGTAACGTCATGTGATTGCGAATCATTCAATAGTTGATTGGATAGTTAAATGACTCTTATCCAATAAAATTCGTAATATGTATGTACATGTTAATTGTGTTACCCTAAAATTTGACCAAATGTAAAAGTTCGAAATAAATTAGAATAGAGCATGATTCTCAATATAAAAGTCCAATGTCACATCTGGGAGTCATGAGACGTCTGTGTTCGTTGGCCGCGATAAGACTATTTGTGCTGATGTGGCGTAAAATATTCTACACCTATTTACTGGTTATGAGGGTAATAGCAAGTTTGTTGTCCCTGAGATACCATCTATTGCTCGAGGCAAAGCCAAGGGCAAAAGTTAGTTTCAAGGGGACAACAAACTTGTTATTACCCTCATAACCAGTCATTAAGTGTTTTATTATACCGAAGAAAACAACATTCTAAAAAGACTACATAGACCACTACGAAAAAAAAACAAATAGTCACATAGACATGCACAATATGACCTATCAGGTTTTTTTTGTCCGTGTGGTATTTGTCAATATTTCATTTACTGTAATCAAAACCAGGAATCCGTGTGTAAAAATTTCCATGCATATAATAAACGCTAGCTTAAATATATTAATGTACACCAAAGCAATCCCAGATTATGAAGACGACGACAGACACATACAATACATTTGTTATGTTTTAGTTCTTATAATATGTCATGTATATTTTCTTTTTCTTTTTTAATTGCTTCTGGTAAGTAATATATTAATTTGAAATTACGACGACTGACGTAGATTATGTGCTTGTATTCAGATAAAGTGGAGAAATTAATTCAGAATAATAACATCACAGTAAATGACGAAACTTTTTTTTGAACATTCCTCGACTAAAGCAGTTGAACAAAACCTAGTTTTAAAGTTTATTTAACGCAGATAATTGCCATTCGAGGCAGTCAGCCATTTATTCAGTAAGATAATTGTATTAAATTTCAGAAATCTACAAATCATATGTGCCAAATGTGACTTATATTGTGATTATATGCATATTTATACATAATTATTATATCATTTTAATTTATATATACATGTATATATATTTTGCCTTAATCAAAAATTGTATCATTATCGGACACCTCATTGGAGTTTTAATAAACCAGGTTTATGTGTTATTGGCTATTCAAACTACATCGTATTGCAGAATGACTAACACTGAGATAAATATGAAGACGTTCCTATGTAACTTTTCTGCTCTGTTGTCTATCGAACTGAATATTTTAAGGAATGTATAAGCATCTAAGTATGCCCCGTCGCTGTAAGGCATGCAACTGTTTCAATGTTTAAAAACATGGCTAGTAAATTATTCTGCATAACAATAACAACCACATATAAACAAAGGCAACATTAGTATACCGCTGTTCGAAACTCATAAATCGATAGAGATAAAAACAAATCCGGGTTACAAACTAAAACTGAGGGAAACGCATCAAATATAAGAGGAGAACAGCGACACAACAAAAACACAACATTAAAATGTAACACACACAGAAACGAACTATAATATAACTATTAAAGAGGAACGTATATATATAAGTATGAGTTATAAGCTCTATGACCATCTGTCCTATTCTCTTTTGTTTGTGTCTATTCATGGGGCATTATTTCGATATTCTGTGATTATCATCCCATCTCATCAATATTTTCATTTCGTGTTTTCCCTTCATTTTATTTAACCTTGCCAATTTATGTAATTTTTATTCACTGAGTTGCTGTAAATTTCTATAAAAATCGGTTAGACAAAAAAAATCTTTAAGAATCAAATAGAAAAACCGAGATAAGAATTAAAGAAAGAAACAAAAATTTTTAAAATCAAATTCATAAAGACTGAATAAAATATATAACATAGCCCACCTTGCAAATTGTATCCCAAATTATATTTTCTTTTTTTAGATGGACTAAGCAAAATAAAGGATATACATGTATATTGATATCATTTGTGTGGTTAAAGGGAATTAATCGGTGCTAGTTTAGAAATACAAACGGTTTTTCTATTTGACGTAATATCCAGTCTTATAACATATGTGTACATTTGTATTGCCTTTAAGAACAATTCTAATTTTTCAATTACGGAGCAAACAGCAGATTGCGGACGAGAAAGAAAGTTGCAAAAGATCTCAACATTTTGAGACATTAAAAAGACTTGGATCATTTTACTGGTCTGATATTTTGATTCATTTTGATTTATTTTGTCATTTTTTTTTAAGCATTCTATCATTTATGCGCTTTTTCTCATCAAATGGTTGCTCCCTTATTCAATGTGCCATACACGCTTCATAGCCGTTTTACCTCAGTTGCCAATCATTAACTTATTATATGTTGTAGTAACCATTTATCAACAAGCATCGTGTATATTCTTGTCTTCTAATAATTTCTTAACCCACCTGTTTTAACGATTAACAAATGGTGCTTTGAATAATTGTCAATGTTATGGTTCAAGTTCCTAATTCACAATAACTGCACATCTAACTGACAGATTATGTCTTATACAAACTGATATCACCACAAATAACTAAAAATTTACCGCACTTATCAACGACTAGGAAACATAGAGTTACATGTAAATTTGACGGTCATTTCAAACTACGTGTAGCATTATCATACTCATGAGATCCTTATTACATTGTGTTACATTAATGTGTGATTTCTACTTGCCAATGGTATAAGGTTTTGCAATGTATACATAATTTAGTTATATCAAGTTCATAGTGTTTTGTCATTCAAAATGAAAACAAATTGAACCATGTACAAGGAAAGATAAGTCTCTGCCTACAAGCAGTATAAATTTATCATTAAACAAATACATCATTTTTATGAAATATATTGTTGTTTTAATTGGAGTTTAAATTAACCAGGTTTCTGTGTTATTGGCTATTCAAACTACATCGTATTGCAGAATGACTAACACTGAGATAAATATGAAGACGTTCCTATGTAACTTTTCTGCTCTGTTTTCCATCGAACTGAATATTTGAAGGAATTTCTACGCATCTAAGTATATCCCATCGCTGTAAGGCATGCAACTGTTTCAATGTTTAAACACATGGCTAGTAAATTTTTCTGCAAAGCAATAACAACCACATATAAATAAAGGAAACAGTAGTATACCGCTGTTCGAAACTCATAAATCGATAGAGATAAAAACAAATCCGTATAACAAACTAAAACTGAGGGAAAACGCATCAAATATAAGAGGAGAACAACGACACAACAAAAAAACAACATTACAATGTAACACACACGGAAACGAACTATAATATAACTATTAAAGAGGAATGTATATATTGATTTATAAGCTCTATGACTAGCTGTCCTATTCTCTTTTGTTTGTGTCTATACCTGGGGCATTATTTCTATACTCTGTGATTATCATCCCATCTCATCAATATTTTCATTTCGTGTTTTCCCTTCATTTTATTTAACCTTGCCAATTTATGTAATTTTTATTCATTGATTTGCTGTAAATTTCTATAAAAATCGGTGAGAATCAAATAGAGAAACCGAAATAAGAATCAAAGAAACAAACAAAAATTTAAAAATCTAATTCATAAAGACTGAAAATAATATATAACATAGGCCACCTTGCAAATTGTATCCCAAATTATATTTTCTTTTTTAGATGGACTAAGCAAAATAAAGGATATACATGTATATTGATATCATTTGTGTGGTTAAAGGGAAGTAATCAGTGCTAGTTTACAAATACAAACGGTTTTTTTTATTTGACGTAATATCCAGTCTCATAACATATGTGCACATTTGTATTGCCTTTAAGAACAATTCTAATTTTTCAATTACGGAGCAAATAGCTGATTGCGGACGAGAAAGAAAGTTGCAAAAGATCTCAACATTTTGAGACATTTAAAAGACTTGGATCATTTTACTGGTCTGATATTTTGATTCATTTTGATTTATTTTGTCATTTTGTTCTTAAACATTCTATCATTTATGCGCTTTTTCTTGTCAAATGGTTGCTTCCTTTTTCAATGTGCCATACACGCTTCATAGCCTTTTTACCTCAGTTGCCAATCATTAATTTATTATATGTTGTAGTAACCATTTATCAACAAGCATCGTGCATATTCTTGTCTTCTAACAATTTCTAAACCCACATGTTTTAACAATTAACAAATGGTGACAAAGGGGAATCGGAAACATTCGATCAAATTACCGAATGAATAACGAATTTCACCGATGTGTTATGGTTGTGTTATGGTCACACGGGTCAGACGGCAAGCTTATTTTACAGCTTAACAGTTTTGGTACGGGTTTTCGCACTAGTTAGTACAATATAAATTGTTATAGTCAAAAGGCAGTTTTTTATTATTCGTCATTTTTGTTCTATTTTAAGAAACTTTTATTTAAAAGTAGGTCTAATGATTTAAGTTTCGGCAAATTTTTATTTTATTTATAAAAAAAGATACTAGTAGGGGTTATTATTCAATTTTGTTTTTTTTACAGATGTAAACGTATGAAAAAGTATCAAAGACTTTGAAACAGAAAACAAACCAAAAATAGATAAAAAAATGAGTAAGGAGCAATATGAAATTACAAATGTTAGAAATTATAATCGGTTTAACAACTTTTAAAAGTGAAACCGGTTGTGAAATATAAAAAAACAAACAAACAATACAGATATGACAAAACTATGATGATGACAACGTTTTAAAGCTGTACTTTTGGCTATTTCTTTAAAGATTGTTTAAGTACTTTACCACTTTCACTTTTTTTTTATTTTAACGGTACTTTGAATAATTGTCAATGTTATGGTTCAAGTTCCAAATTCACAATAACTGCACATCTAACTGACAGATTCTGTCTTGTACAAACTGAAATCACCACAAATAACTAAAAATTTACCGCACTTATCAACGACTAGGAACCATAGAGTTACATATCAATTTGACGGTCATTTCAAACTACGTGTAGCATTATCATACTCATGAGATCCTTATTACATTGTGTTACATTAATGTGTGATTTCTACTTGCCAATGGTATAAGGTTTTGCAATGTATACATAATTTAGTCATACCAAATTCAGCATGTTTTGTCATTCAAAATGAAAACAAATTGAACCATGTACAAGGAAAGATAAGTCTCTGCCTACAAGCAGTATAAATTGACCATTGAAAAAAATACCACATTTTTATGAAATATATTGTTTTCTGTTATTATGTTTGTATTTTGTCGTTTACCTTTTTGGAAGCAAGATAATGATTCAGGTAATAAAAAAAAAATTGAAACACGTGACTAAAACAAAACACCTGTCAATAAGCAAAGAACAATATAACTCGTGCAAAAGTATGTTGTCTGTCTTTGTATTGCTGGGAGATCTTTGACCTGATTATGAACTATCAATGGTGTTTTTATACTGTTTGTAGACTGATGCACATAACCATTATACGATAGATTTTATTTGATTAGTTTGACTGGATTATGTCTATGAAGGAGATTTTCTGTGTTACCATTGTTACAATACGACATTGTTATTCATGTTGACTTTGTTATTATTGTTGATTTTCATATTAAATTTCAATATAAAGATTGTAATGTTTATCTTTTTTGTTTTGAAGTCTGTGTATAAAAATAAACACAAAGGTCGTGAAAGCCAAAATGATATTTGTATCAGTAATGAATTAACACTTTATAAATTTGGTGCGCCCGACGCGCTTTTATGTATTTACCTTCAACCTTAAGGATGTTCGCTCCTCTTGTTTTTGAATTTTTGCCAGGTATTCGGAATCCTCTGGTTTTATCCATATATTGTCATAAAAAAAAAATTGCCCACTACCCCCTACCTTTCTTTTCATAATTTTATTACATATAGTTTAAAAGCCATATTTGAAAATCTTAAAAAATCCTTGTTATTTTTTCATCGTTTTTGAAAGAAAACAGGTGCTAATGTTTAATGTTTGAAAAATCTAGAGAGAATTATTTCCCGCCAAATTTTCAATGGCTTAAATCTCGAAAACAAACACACGGACCCTTCATTTTTTTCTGCTTTTTTAGTTCCTTTATTTATATACTATCATTTTAGAACAGTCTTTTAAGAAGCTTGTTATGAAACAGAGTAGCGAACATCCTTAAAAGTGCTATATGACCACCAAGGACCTAACCAGAATGGCAAAATTTAGTTACGGTCAACTTTTCCTGTGGTAGTTGCAACCTAAGTTTTTTTTTAAAAAAGGAGAGAATGGCAATCAAACATTATAACCGGACAAAAACAAAAGACGTAAACATTTCAAAAAAAGAAAATAGAATGATATAAACATGACCAAAAAAATCTATCAATTTGTCAACATTTAAAAGGAAAAATAAAATGATAAATAAAAGTCTACAATACACTACATAGAAATCTAAAGATTGAACACCTCGAATCCAACTAAATGGCTGTGAATTAAATCTGGTAGTCTGATATGGTCTCTTATAGTGACACACTTCGTGTTATTTGTGTTACATGTAAAATTGAGAATGGAAATGGGGAATGTGTCAAAGAGACAACAACCCGACCATAGAGCAGGCAACAGCCGAATGCCACCAATGGGTCTTCAACGTAGCGAGAAACTCCCGCACCCGGAGGCGTCCTTCAGCTGGCCCCTAAACAAATATGTATACCAGTTCAGTGATAATGGACGTCATACTAAACTCCAAAATATACACAGGAAACTAAAATTAAAAATGATACAAGACTATCAAAGGCCAGAGGCTCCTGACTTGGGACAGGCGCAAAAATGCGGCGGGGTTAAACATGTTTTTTGAGATCTCAACCCTCCCTCTATACCTCAAGCCAATGTAGAAAAAACAAACCCACAACAGTACGCATAATACATTGATGTGTAATATCATGTGATTGCGAATCATTCAATAGTTGATTGGATAGTTAAATGACTCTTATCCAATAAAATTCGTAAACTGTATGTAGATGTTAATTGTGTTACCCTAAAATTTGACCAAATGTAAAAGTTCGAAATAAATAAGAATAGAGCATGATTCTCAATATAAAAGTCCAATGTCACATCTGGGAGTCATGAGACGTCTGTGTTCGTTGGCCGCGATAAGACTATTTGTGCTGATGTGGCGTAAAATATTCTACACCTATTTACTGGTTATGAGGGTAATAGCAAGTTTGTTGTCCCTGAGATACCATCTATTGCTCGAGGCAAAGCCAAGGGCAAAAGTTAGTTTCAAGGGGACAACAAACTTGTTATTACCCTCATAACCAGTCATTAAGTGTTTTATTATACCGAAGAAAACAACATTCTTAAAAGACTACATAGACCACTACGAAAAAAAAAACCAAATAGTCACATAAACATGCACAATATGACCTATCAGGTTTTTTTTGTCCGTGTGGTATTTGTCAATATTTCATTTACTGTAATCAAAACCAGGAATCCGTGTGTAAAAATTCCCATGCATATAATAAACGCTAGCTTAAATATATTAATGTACACCAAAGCAATCCCAGATTATGAAGACGACGACAGACACATACAATACATTTGTTATGTTTTAGTTCTTATAATATGTCATGTATATTTTCTTTTTCTTTTTTAATTGCTTCTGGTAAGTAATATATTAATTTGAAATTACGACGACTGACGTAGATTATGTGCTTGTATTCAGATAAAGTGGAGAAATTAATTCAGAATAATAACATCACAGTAAATGACGAAACTTTTTTTTGAACATTCCTCGACTAAAGCAGTTGAACAAAACCTAGTTTTAAAGTTTATTTAACGCAGGTAATTGCCATTCGAGGCAGTCAGCCATTTATTCAGTAAGATAATTGTATTAAATTACAGAAATCTACAAATCATATGTGCCAAATGTGACTTATATTGTGATTATATGCATATTTATACATAATTATTATATCATTTTAATTTATATATACATGTATATATATTTTGCCTTAATCAAAAATTGTATCATTATCGGACACCTCATTGGAGTTTTAATAAACCAGGTTTATGTGTTATTGGCTATTCAAACTACATCGTATTGCAGAATGACTAACACTGAGATAAATATGAAGACGTTCCTATGTAACTTTTCTGCTCTGTTTTCTATCGAACTGAATATTTTAAGGAATGTATAAGCATCTAAGTATGCCCCGTCGCTGTAAGGCATGCAACTGTTTCAATGTTTAAAAACATGGCTAGTAAATTATTCTGCATAACAATAACAACCACATATAAACAAAGGCAACATTAGTATACCGCTGTTCGAAACTCATAAATCGATAGAGATAAAAACAAATCCGGGTTACAAACTAAAACTGAGGGAAACGCATCAAATATAAGAGGAGAACAGCGACACAACAAAAACACAACATTAAAATGTAACACACACAGAAACGAACTATAATATAACTATTAAAGAGGAACGTATATATATAAGTATGAGTTATAAGCTCTATGACCATCTGTCCTATTCTCTTTTGTTTGTGTCTATTCATGGGGCATTATTTCGATACTCTGTGATTATCATCCCATCTCATCAATATTTTCATTTCGTGTTTTCCCTTCATTTTATTTAACCTTGCCAATTTATGTAATTTTTATTCACTGAGTTGCTGTAAATTTCTATAAAAATCGGTTAGACAAAAAAAATCTTTAAGAATCAAATAGAAAAACCGAGATAAGAATTAAAGAAAGAAACAAAAATTTTTAAAATCAAATTCATAAAGACTGAATAAAATATATAACATAGCCCACCTTGCAAATTGTATCCCAAATTATATTTTCTTTTTTTAGATGGACTAAGCAAAATAAAGGATATACATGTATATTGATATCATTTGTGTGGTTAAAGGGAATTAATCGGTGCTAGTTTAGAAATACAAACGGTTTTTCTATTTGACGTAATATCCAGTCTTATAACATATGTGTACATTTGTATTGCCTTTAAGAACAATTCTAATTTTTCAATTACGGAGCAAACAGCAGATTGCGGACGAGAAAGAAAGTTGCAAAAGATCTCAACATTTTGAGACATTAAAAAGACTTGGATCATTTTACTGGTCTGATATTTTGATTCATTTTGATTTATTTTGTCATTTTTTTTTAAGCATTCTATCATTTATGCGCTTTTTCTCATCAAATGGTTGCTCCCTTATTCAATGTGCCATACACGCTTCATAGCCTTTTTACCTCAGTTGCCAATCATTAACTTATTATATGTTGTAGTAACCATTTATCAACAAGCATCGTGTATATTCTTGTCTTCTAATAATTTCTTAACCCACATGTTTTAACGATTAACAAATGGTGCTTTGAATAATTGTCAATGTTATGGTTCAAGTTCCTAATTCACAATAACTGCACATCTAACTGACAGATTATGTCTTATACAAACTGATATCACCACAAATAACTAAAAATTTCCCGCACTTATCAACGACTAGGAAACATAGAGTTACATGTAAATTTGACGGTCATTTCAAACTACGTGTAGCATTATCATACTCATGAGATCCTTATTACATTGTGTTACATTAATGTGTGATTTCTACTTGCCAATGGTATAATGTTTTGCAATGTATACATAATTTAGTCATATCAAGTTCAGTGTGTTTTGTCATTCAAAATGAAAACAAATTGAACCATGTACAAGGAAAGATAAGTCTCTGCCTACAAGCAGTATAAATTTATCATTAAACAAATACATCATTTTTATGAAATATATTGTTGTTTTAATTGGAGTTTTTATTAACCAGGTTTATGTGTTATTGGCTATTCAAACTACATCGTATTGCAGAATGACTAACACTGAGATAAATATGAAGACGTTCCTATGTAACTTTTCTGCTCTGTTTTCCATCGAACTGAATATTTGAAGGAATTTCTACGCATCTAAGTATATCCCATCGCTGTAAGGCATGCAACTGTTTCAATGTTTAAACACATGGCTAGTAAATTTTTCTGCATAGCAATAACAACCACATATAAATAAAGGAAACAGTAGTATACCGCTGTTCGAAACTCATAAATCGATAAGGATAAAAACAAATCCGGGTAACAAACTAAAACTGAGGGAAAACGCATCAAATATAAGAGGAGAACAACGACTCAACAAAAAAAACAACATTAAAATGTAACACACACAGAAACGAACTATAATATAACTATTAAAGAGGAATGTATATATTGATTTATAAGCATTATGACTAGCTGTCCTATTCTCTTTTGTTTGTGTCTATACCTGGGCATTATTTCTATACTCTGTGATTATCATCCCATCTCATCAATATTTTCATTTCGTGTTTTCCCTTCATTTTATTTAACCTTGCCAATTTATGTAATTTTTATTCATTGATTTGCTGTAAATTTCTATAAAAATCGGCGAGAATCAAATAGAGAAACCGAAATAAGAATCAAAGAAACAAACAAAAATTTAAAAATCTAATTCATAAAGACTGAAAATAATATATAACATAGGCCACCTTGCAAATTGTATCCCAAATTATATTTTCTTTTTTAGATGGACTAAGCAAAATAAAGGATATACATGTATATTGATATCATTTGTGTGGTTAAAGGGAAGTAATCAGTGCTAGTTTACAAATACAAACGGTTTTTTTTATTTGACGTAATATCCAGTCTCATAACATATGTGCACATTTGTATTGCCTTTAAGAACAATTCTAATTTTTCAATTACGGAGCAAATAGCTGATTGCGGACGAGAAAGAAAGTTGCAAAAGATCTCAACATTTTGAGACATTTAAAAGACTTGGATCATTTGACTGGTCTGATATTTTGATTCATTTTGATTTATTTTGTCATTTTGTTCTTAAACATTCTATCATTTATGTGCTTTTTCTTGTCAAATGGTTGCTTCCTTATTCAATGTGCCATACACGCTTCATAGCCTTTTTACCTCAGTTGCCAATCATTAATTTATTATATGTTGTAGTAACCATTTATCAACAAGCATCGTGCATATTCTTGTCTTCTAACAATTTCTAAACCCACATGTTTTAACAATTAACAAATGGTGACAAAGGGGAATCGGAAACATTCGATCAAATTACCGAATGAATAACGAATTTCACCGATGTGTTATGGTTGTGTTATGGTCACACGGGTCAGACGGCAAGCTTATTTACAGCTTAACAGTTTTGGTACGGGTTTTCGCACTAGTTAGTACAATATAAATTGTTATAGTCAAAAGGCAGTTTTTTTTTATTCGTCATTTTTGTTCTATTTTAAGAAACTTTTATTTCAAAGTAGGTCTGATGATTTAAGTTTCGGCAAATTTTTATTTTATTTATAAAAAAAGATAGGGGTTATTATTCAGTATTTTTTTTCTAGATGTAAACGTATGAAAAAAGTATCAAAGACTTTGAAACAGAAAACAAACCAAAAATAGATAAAAAAATGAATAAGGAGCAATATGAAATTACAAATGTTAGAAATTATAATCGGTTTAACAACTTTTAAAAGTGAAACAGGTTGTGAAATATAAAAAAAAACCAAACAATACAAAACTATGATGATGACAACGTTTTAAAGCTGTACTTTTGGCTATTTCTTTAAAGATTGTTTAAGTATTTTACCACTTTCACTTTTTTTTTATTTCAACGGTACTTTGAATAATTGTCAATGTTATGGTTCAAGTTCCAAATTCACAATAACTGCACATCTAACTGACAGATTATGTCTTATACAAACTGAAATCACCACAAATAACTAAAAATTTACCGCAATTATCAACGACTAGGAAACATAGAGTTACATATAAATTTGACGGTCATTTCAAACTACGTGTAGCATTATCATACTCATGAGATCCTTATTACATTGTGTTACATTAATGTGTGATTTCTACTTGCCAATGGTATAAGGTTTTGCAATGTATACATAATTTAGTCATACCAAATTCAGTGTGTTTTGTCATTCAAAATGAAAACAAATTGAACCATGTACAAGGAAAGATAAGTCTCTGCCTACAAGCAGTATAAATTTATCATTGAAAAAAATACATCATTTTTATGAAATATATTGTTTTCTGTTATTATGTTTTGTTTTTTGACGTTTACCTTTTTGGAAGCAAGATAATGATTCAGGTAATAAAAAAAAATTGAAACACGTGACTAAAACAAAACACCTGTCAATAAGCAAAGAACAATATAACTCGTGCAAAAGTACTTTGTCTGTCTTTGTATTGCTGGGAGATCTTTGACCTGATTATGAACTATCAATGGTGTTTTTATACTGTTTGTAGACTGATGCACATAACCATTATACGATAGATTTTATATGATTAGTTTGACTGGATTATGTCTATGAAGGAGATTTTCTGTGTTACCATTGTTACAATACGACATTGTTATTCATGTTGACTTTGTTATTATTGTTGATTTTCATATTAAATTTCAATATAAAGATTGTAATGTTTATCTTTTTTGTTTTGAAGTCGGTGTATAAAAATAAACACAAAGGTCGTGAAAGCCAAAATGATATTTGTATCAGTAATGAATGAACACTTTATAAATTTGGTGCGCCCGACGCGCTTTTCTGTATTTACCTTCATCCTTAAGCATGTTCGCTCCTCTTGTTTTTGAATTTTTGCCAGATATTCGGAATCCTCTGGTTTTATCCATGTAGTGCCTTTAAAAAATTTTGCCCACTAACCCCTACTTTTCTCTCCATAATATGATTACATATAGTTTAAAATGTCATTTTTGAAAATCTTATAAAATCCTTGTTATTTTTTCATCGTTTTTGAAAGAAAACAGGTGCTAATGTTAAATGTATGAAAAATCTAGAGAGAATCATTTCCCGCCAAATTTTCAATGGCTTATATCTCGAAAACAAGCACACGGACCCTTCATTTTTTTCTGCTTTTTTAGTTCCTTTATTTATAAACTATCATTTTATAACAGTCTTTTAAAAAGCTTGTTATTTTGAAACAGAGTAGCGAACATCCTTAAAAGTGCTTTATGACCACCAAGGACCTAACCAGAATGGCAAAATTTAGTTACGGTCAACTTTACCTGTGGTAGTTGCAACTAAATTTTTTTTTATAAAAGGAGAGAATGGCAATCAAACATTATAACCGGACAAAAACAAAAGACATAAACATTTCAAAAGAAGAAAATAGAATGATATAAACATGACAAAAACAATCTATCAATATATCAACATTTAAAAGGAAAATAAAATGATAAATAACAGTCTACAATACACTACATAGAAATCTAAAGATTGAACACCTCGAATCCAACTTAATGGCTGTGAATTAAATCAGGTGGTCTGATATGGTCTCTTATAGTGACACACTTCGTGTTATTTGTGTTACATGTAAAATTGAGAATGGAAATTGGGAATGTGTCAAAGAGACAACAGCCGGACCATAGAGCAGACAACAGCCGAATGCCACCAATGGGTTTTCAACGCAGCGAGAAACTCCCGCACCCGGAGGCGTCCTTCAGCTGGCCCCTAAACAAATATGTATACCAGTTCAATGATAATGGACGCCATACTAAACTCCAAATTATACACAGGAAACTAAAATTAAAAATGATACAAGACTAACAAAGGCCAGAGGCTCCTGACTTGGGACAGGCGCAAAAATGCGGCGGGGTTAAACATGTGTTTTGAGATCTCAACCCTCCCTCTATACCTCTAGCCAATGTAGAAAAAACAAACGCACAACTGTACGCATACATTGATGTGTTATGTCACGTGATTGCGAATCATTCAATAGTTGATTGGATAGTTAAATGTCTCTTATCCAATAAAATTCGTTAACTGTATGTACATGTTAATTGTGTTACCCTAAAATTTGACCAAATGTAAAAGTTCGAAATAAATTAGAATAGAGCATGATTCTCAATAGAAAAGTCCAATGTCACATCTGGGAGTCACGAGACGTCTGTGTTCGGTTGCCGCGATAAGACGTTTTGCGCTTATGCTGCGTAAAATATTATACACCTATTGACTGGTTATGAGGGTAATAGCAAGTTTGTTGTCCCTGAGATACCATCTATTACTCGAGGCGAAGCCATGAGCAATAGGTAGTTACAAAGGGACAACAAACTTGCTATTACCCTCATAACCAGTCATTAAGTGTTTTATTATACCGAACAAAACAACATTCTAAAAAGACTACATAGACCACTAGGAAAAAAAACAAATAGTCACATAAACATGCACAATATGACCTATCAGGTTTTTTTGTCCGTGTGGTATTTGTCAATATTTCATTTACTGTAAATAAAACCAGGAATCCTTGTGTAAAAATTCCCGTGCATATAATAAACGCTAGCTAAAATTTATTACTGTACACCAAAGCAATCCCAGATGATGGAGACGACGACAGACACACACAATACATTTGTTATGTTTTAGTTCTTAAGATATGTCATGTATATTTTCTTTTTCTTTTTTAATTGCTTCTGGTAAGTAATATATTAATTTGAAATTACGACGACAGACGTAGATTATTTGCTTGTATTCAGATAAAGTGGAGAAATTAATTCAGAATAATAACATCACAGTAAATGACAAAACAAGTTTTCCATTTGGAACATTCCTCGACTAAAGCAGTTGAACAAAACCTAGTTTAAAAGTTTATTTAACGCAGGTAATTGCCATTCGAGGCAGTCAACCATTTATTCAGTAAGATAATTGTATTGAATTACAGAATTGTACAAATCATATGTGCCAAATGTGATTTATTTTGTGATTATATGCATATTTATACATAATTATTATATCATTTTAATTTATATATACATGTATATATATATTTTGCCTTAATCAAATGTTGTATTATTATCGGACACCTCGTTGGAGTTTTAATTAACCAGGTTTATGTGTTATTGGCTATTCAAACTACATCGTATTGCAGAATGACTGACACTGAGATAAATATGAAGACGTTCCTATGTAACTTTTCTGCTCTGTTTTCTATCGAACTGAATATTTTAAGGAATGTCTAAGCAACTTAGTATGCCCCGTCGCTGTAAGGCATGCAACTGTTTCAATGTTTAAAAACATGGCTAGTAAATTATTCTGCATAGCAATAACAACTACATATCACAGAGGAACGTATATTTTGATTTATAATTACACCTTATATAAGAATGCCGGATTTTGATTGGTTGTTAGCCAGTGTATTTTTCGCATATTCTAACATTTTTTCCTCATTTCAAACGAATTTGCCTGTTTTTTCACCACTGCCGGTGAATTTGCCTGAAAATCCCCTCTCTGCCGTGGTATTTGTCATTTTGGATATTCCCTTTTTACCCTCGCGAGCCTGTCCCCGCCAAAATTATTCGGAACCTTTCTCACTTTATCCCGACAACATGGTCAAGCACTATTGATTGAGTTAACCCGAAAACTGTCAGAAATATACACATAAAGAGGAAAAAAAATGTCTATACAAATGAACGATTTAATGATGGAATAACAATGACGTTTACACATATAGATACCATGACGTTACAAAAAGACAGCACTAACGCATATAAGTACATGTATAATTCCCGCGGTACTACGATTTCCCTTCACATATACAGACAGTTTCAATCAAAATCTATTCGGTGTAATTAAACAGATATATCATGTAATGGAGGGGTATTTGCGAAAAATACCAGTCTTGGGACCAAATTTCCCTCGCCTAGCGGCTTGGGAAATTTCACCGTCCCTTGACTGGTATTTTTCGCAATACCCCTCCATAACATGATATATCTGTTTATAAGCTCTATGACTAGCTGTCCTATTCTCTTTTGTTTGTGTCTATACCTGGGGCATTATTTCGATACTCTGTGATTATCATCCCATCTCATCAATATTTTCATTTCGTGTTTTCCTTCATTTTATTTAACCTTGCCAATTTATGTAATTTTTATTCATTGAGTTGCTGTAAATTTCTATAAAAGTCGGTTAGACAAAAAATTCTAAAGAATCAAATAGACAAACCGAAATAAGAATCAAAGAAACAAACAAAAATTTAAAAAATCAAATTCATAAAGACTGAAAAAAATATATAACATAGGCCACCTTGCAAATTGTATCCCAAATTATATTTTCTTTTTTTAAGATGGACTAAGCAAAATAAAGGATATACATGTATATTGATATCATTTGTGTGGTTACAGGGAAGTAATCTGTGTTAGTTTATAAATAACAAACGGTTTTTCTATTTGACGTAATATCCAGTCTTATAACATATGTGTACATTTGATTTTCCTTTAAGAACAATTCTATTTTTTTCAATTACGGAACAAACAGCTGATTGCGGACGAGAAAGAAAGTTGCAAAAGATCTCAACATTTCGAGACATTAAAAAGACTTGGATCATTTTACTGGTCTGATATTTTGATTCATTTTGATTTATTTTGTCATTTTGTTCTTAAGCATTCTATCATTTATGCGCTTTTTCTCATCAAATGGTTGCTCCCTTATTCAATGTGCCATACACGCTTCATAGCCTTTTTACCTCAGTTGCCAATCATTAATTTATTATATGTTGTAGTAACCATTTATCAACAAGCATCGTGCATATTCTTGTCTTCTAACAATTTCTAAACCCATCTGTTTTAACAATTAACAAATGGTGACAAAGGGGAATCGGAAACATTCGATCAAATTACCGAATGAATAACGAATTTCACCGATGTGTTATGGCTGTGTTATGGTCACACGGGTCAGACGACAAGCTTATTTACAGCTTAACAGTTTTGGTACGGGTTTTCGCACTAGTTAATATAATATAAATTGTTATAGTCAAAAGGCAGTTTTTTATTATTCGTCATTTTTGTTCTATTTTAAGAAACTTTTATTTCAAAGTAGGTCTGATGATTTAAGTTTCGGCAAATTTTTATTTTATTTATAAAAAAAGATAGGGGTTATTATTAAATTTTGTTTTTTACAGATGTAAACGTAGGAAAAAAGTATCAAAGACTTTGAAATCTGAAAACAAACTAAAAATAGATAAAAAAAATGAGTAAGGAGCAATATGAAATTACAAATGTTAGAAATTATAATCGGTTTAACAACTTTTAAAAGTGAAACAGGTTGTGAAATATAAAAAAAAACAATACAGATATGACAAAACTATGATGATGACAACGTTTTAAAGCTGTACTTTTGGCTATTTCTTTAAAGATTGTTTAAGTACTTTACCACTTTCACTTTTTTTTTTTATTTTAACATTACTTTGAATAATTGTCAATGTTATGGTTCAAGTTCCAAATTCACAATAACTGCACATCTAACTGACAGATTATGTCTGATACAAACTGATATCACCACAAATAACTAAAAATTTACCGCAATTATCAACGACTAGGAAACATAGAGTTACATATAAATTTGACGGTCATTTCAAACTACGTTTAGCATTATCATACTCATGAGATCCTTATTACATTGTGTTA